GTGCAACTTATGATCCACACGGTCAACTTGCAGAAGACGTTGTTGATTTCTCCTACCAGATGCAGGCAGCAACCAATAATTTGCAGAGTGTCAGGGACCAAGCCAAATCTGAAGATTTTCTGTGTGAGGTCAATGCTCTTTCGTATGACATTTTATTTGTCCATGAAAGTTGGCGGGATGCCCACGAGGAGATGTGCAAGACAACGCGTGGGGACAATGTGTTTTTCCGCCGCGGCGGAAGGCCGGGCCAAGATGGCCTCCAGAGGCACCGCGCCAAAGCCGGCGGGCTGCAGTCCTGCCGCGGTTGGGCCCAAGGCAGTCTCGGCCACGGCCACTTGCACCGCGACGGACAACAACCCCAGCCCCGCAACCGCGTCAAGGTCCGCAGGAAGTCGCGGGCCTGGTCGTTCCAGCGCCCTCCAACCTCATTGCCGAGAACTAGCATGCGCTGGGGCGCGGGCCCGCGCAGCTCGGAGTACGCGGCTTGCTTCCGGCGCTCGGCATGGCGCAGCGAGGCTCCATCAAATGTGGCTGCCCTCGCGCGTCAGGGGCGATACCATGGTGGCATCGCAGCAAAGGGCACCACCCCAGCTCGTGGCCCCGTAGACCACCAGGTCCAGGCGGCGCTGGTGTTTTTCAGTGGCGGCTCACGGGGACAAGTTGTTGGCATCTGCATGTCCAAGACATGGCAGACGCAACATTTCCTTTTATGCTTATTCGCCTCGGGTTTGTTTGCTACGTTGTTGCAAAGGGACCAAAAAATTTGCTTTTGTGGTGGTATACCTTCCCACAAGTTGGGATTCAGATGATGCCGTGTAGGAGGTATATGATGTGCTGTCACTTGTGCTTGACAATTGTGTTCGTGATGATGCAGATATCGTCCTAGGTGGGGACTTCAATGCTAGCCTTGGTCATTTGCAAGCCGGTGATGAACCATCAATGGGAGTTTGTGGGCTAGGCCAGCGGAATATTCGTGGAATTACTCTCGCATCATGGGCGCTTTCTTACGGGCTTCAATTTCAAACCGCTTCGTTGACCCGATATTTGGCGCAAACAGTTGGACATGCCGTCGATAGATGGACGGAGAACGTGTGCAAGTGGACTTCATATTGATCTCCTCACATTTGCAGGTTGTGCATACCCAGGTTGATTGGGCCCTTCCTATTGGTTTGGATCATCGTTGTGTTCACAGCGTGCTACAATTGCCCGCGGCAGGACGACCGTGCATCCGCAAGCGCCGGGGACTGAGATTTTGGAAGCCTCACCGCGATCAACATGGGAAGCGTTCCGTGTTCCAGGCCGCGTTGTCTACAGCTTTGGCGGGGTGTGAAGAGGTTTGCGTGTCCACATTGGAAGAATGTTTGGTGAAAGCAGGAAAGAAGGGGGGGCACGAGCGGAAAACGACGAAACTCCTTCCAGCCGTCCTCTTACTTTAAACATTTGGGTATCCAGAGGAGAAATTTGCACAATCCAGACTCACGCAAACAGTTGTCCTTTCGAATTCGAAGAACTCAGCGCCGTGAGATGCGATTGCGGAGATCCTCAGCCACATCACAGCATTTATGCGACAAGTCCAAGTGGAAATTCATGCGAGGCTTGAGTGAGACGCTTGGCCGGAAGCAGACCCAACAGCCACATCCAGATGATGATGAAGCGCCTAGTTTATCAGAGCCACCCTTCGATGTACAAGCGCTTCACCAGGCTATTCACCGCATGAAACTTAGCGGGGCGACTGACGAGGCTGGACGTGCTGCCGAGCTCTTGGGATATTTTCCCGAAGACTTTTTTTACATGCATTGCTTCATGTTTGCAATCATATCCTCTGCGCGGACCTTATTTCAGATGTTGCCTAAACACACAAATGCGAATTGCCTCCTCGGTCGCATTGAAGATACGTTGGAAGCATCACAGCCGGAGGAGCAGCATGGTTCTCGCGCCCACCAACGTGTTGAAGAACACTTGTTGACAACAAACGTTGTTCTCGATAAAACGTTGCAATGCGGTAATCCTGTTTGGGTGATTTCTCTGGACCTATCCAAAGCGTTCGACCGGGTAGATTGGGCTGCATTGTGGGACGCTCTTCGTCGACACGGCGTTTCAAATCATATTGTTTTTGTTGTTTTGTTTTTTCCTCGCTCCTTTTTGCACCCGCTGTCCTGGGTTCAAGGGTCGGGCTACCGTCAGGGCTCACAGTCCGGCTGCCCTGGGCGCTCGGCGAGCAACTCCCCCAGCGGCAGCTCCCGGTCATCCCCCGCGTCGCACGACTGCACCGGCAGCTCGCGCAGCGTTTGCGCGTGTGCGCGCAGTGCCGCCAATGGCGCAAGGCAATGCCACCGCCGGGTGAGCGCCCGGCCGGCCGCGGCCGCATTCCACGGCGCACGCGCTCGTCCACGTGGATGAAGGCCAGGGCGTTGGGGCTGAATCGTCCTCCGACTTCCATGCCGAAGACGACCAACCGACAACGCCCTTGCCCGCCAGCCCGCAGCTCCGGGTACGTGCGATGTTTGCGCGCCTCGGCGTGGCGAAGCGCGCAACCAGGCTCAACGTCGGCTCCGGGACGGGGCTCTCCGCACCTCTGCAGTAAGCCGACGAGCGTCGTGTCGACCGCGATCTGGGCGCCGCACAGGGGCAGGCCGTTGGCCACGACCTCGATGCGGCGCCCGTCTGTGGCAGGGACGTCAACGTTGAGATCGCGGAGGGCGACGCTGGCCGCCACGCGTGCTCCGGCCTCTCGGCAAATGCGCGCCACTGCCCGCTCGAGTGGGCCCGCACGATGTGCGAGCACCCCGACTTGCGCACAAGCTGCGCGGTGATCCCAGGGTATCAAGGGCCCGGCCGCAGCGACAACTCGGAGCAGCATGACGCGGTACTCCGCATCTGGCACGACGAGGTCGGCACCATCCCCCCCCTGCGACAGCAGCAGCGCACGAGACGCAGGATCAAGGTCACTGAAAAGCGTCTCGAACGCGCGCTGGTCGACAGCGCTGGCGTACCGCTGCCACCCCTTACGGGCCGGTGGGCCGGCCGCTTGGGCGGGGTGAGCGCGCGGCGGCGCTCCCTGGCACAACACGGCCCATGTCGGCACGTCGAGGCCGAGCGTTCGCAACAGCCCGGCCGCCTGCTGAGCCTCCCTGGCACTAGGCGCGACATCGGGCGCCTCCGCCAGCATCGGCTCGGCCAATGTGCCCGGGTGATGTTCCCTCAGCGCCACAGCTGTGTCCGCCCAGGATGCCCAGTAAGCCGCATGCCGATGCTCCGCCGCAGAGGCGAAGCCGAGGCCACCCATGCGCAGCGGCAGGGTTGCTCGCCGTTGCGCTAGCGCGGGGAGATCCATGGGCTCATTTCCCCCCGACAGGAGGACGGCGAGGCAACGCGCAACGGCTGAGTCACGCTCGCGGCACCGTGCGAAGGAGGTACTGGCACCGTGGGGCCGCGCACAGCAGGAGTAGCAGCCACGCGGACTGCATGTCCTGCATGGCAGGGAGATGGGCCAGGAGCTCGTCATGCTTGGAACGCCTGTCTGCCAGCGCGGCAACCACGAGCTCGCGGCTACCGAGGGGGCTGCCGAGAACGATGAAGCCTTGCTGGGCCGGCGGCAGTGCCCAGTTGCCGGTCCAGCAAGGGGGTTCGTGCGCAGCCACGGGCACAGCCGCCACCAGTCCCGGCGGTTCCTTCCCGGCCGCGTTCCAAGCCCTGGTCTTGCCAAGGTGGACTTGAACATTTGCCCGCGTGCCAAGGGCTTCCTGAGCAATGTGTAACACGGGGACCGCGAAGCCGAATGCGGACACCAAACGCTTCGGTCGTCTCGCCAAGACGCGCGATGCAAGACGTACAAAAAGCAAAAACGCGTAAAGGATGCAAGGATCGACGTTGCGAACACAACTGGTTGCTCCAAAGGAGCTCCCAGATATCAAGACAATATCTCAACAAAGAGGGTGCATACGTCGTTTCCGGGTTACTCGTGATGTACACATCGTCGAGGAATGCGTGCAGCCTCTCCGTGGGCAGCAGTTGGGCGTGGATGGAGAGCAGGGCCGAGTGCTGTCCCAACGCATACAGCCCCGGCATCAGGGGGTCACCCTGCTCCCCACCCTCGCCTTGCCACACGTCGTGCCCCACGCCCCCTTTGTCATAAAACACGTAGCAGCTGGCTTGCCCATAGAAGAGTGCCGCGAACGGAAGGAGGCCTTCCAAAGTAGCGTGCCCCCGCAGGGCATCGAGCATGCTCGCCCGGGAGATGTGGTCATACGCACCAACGCCGTCAATGCTCAGCACCGTTGTCCGGGGTCGGTCTCTGTGGCAACGCGGAGGGCTCGTACCACGGCCTCAGGCCCCGCTCTTGTGCTCAGCGCATATTGGAAAGGAGCACAGGCCTCCCGGAAGGCCTTCCCGAACTGCTGCGCCAAGGTGCGCGACGAGACGTCGGAAGACATCGCCCATATCGCCCATAACTAATGCGCGCACGCCGCCCGTGGGCTTCGTCAGTGCGACGATGCGGCCTCGACGCAACGCGCAGACGAATTCAGGCGGGACCGCGCCTTGTGCGAGCTTGGCGGCCGCCAAGGCCAGGAGCTCCGTGGTGTGCTCATCGACGAGGAGAACGCGCAGATGCAACCCGAAGGGCCCGCCGCGCCGTAGCTCCTCCGCCGGCACGCGGGTACAACCCGGTTTGCGGAACAGCAGCATCCTAGGTGCGAGGAGGAAAAGTTTCCACCCATCTATTTCCCCCGCACCCTCTGCATCCCGCACTGCCTCGAGTGCGACACGCATCGCGTTCCGCAAAACGCCCCGGAGCTGCCGGGGCGGGGCTTAGGAATGTAAACGCTCGGCGGGTAACCTCCTCCTCGAGATCGACATCACGCATGCGCGGGAGCAGCGCTGGGAGGGCGACTCGGCGGCCCAAGTCCTGGCTCGGCGTGGGCTGCGGCGCGGTGGGTAGGTCACTGTCACTGTCGATTTGCGTGGGGGCGACCGCCACCGTAGCCGTAGCGGCCACGGGGTTATTCCGCCGTCCCCTCCCTCGGCCTCCCCGACCGCGTCTTCCCCGTCCTCGCACCGCCGCCGACTCCTGCAATCAAGGCATCCACGTCGCGCCCAGCCAGACCACCGTTGTCTGTCACGCCAACAGGGCGTGGGAAGGCCGCGGCCCCATGCGCGATAGCCGCGGCTCCCCCCTCCCCCGCATAGCACACAAGGAGAGCCTCTTGCGCGCTTGCTGGCAGATAGTAGTCCGGGGAAGCGAGCGCGGCAACGGCGACCTGAAGGGGGACGCCCGCCGACGGTGCCGCTGAGCGGGGCCTACGGAATGCCTCTGCGTCTGTGGCCCCGGCACCTGCCCGCGCCTGCTGGGCCACAGCTTCTTCCAGCTCCTGGAGTGGCACCCGCGGGCGGTTCCCCAAGGCAGCCCGGCTGGCACGAAACCAAGGCAACGACTCCCACGCTCGGGCTGCTTCGTCCTCCAGTAGCCCCGCGGCATGAAGCAAAAGCGGCACGTCGTAACTGGACAGTGTGCCTTGCCCGTGGGTGGTTGGCGGCCCCACTTTGCCATGCACTTGTTGCGTCGGGGCCAGGCACGCGGGGCGAACTCCGGTGTTACCGGCCCATCTGGACCTGGGGGTTCTTTTCCTGTCACGACGCCCTGTAGGGCCCGCCACGCCCGCTCACGCTGCCTGCCTACCTGTGTAGTCTCATCCGGTGGGCCCGGGCGGCTCGCTTCTCCGACGCGCACGCTCGCCCAAGGACACGTTGGCGTCCCTCCCCGACCCGCAGCAGAAGGCCTCGTAAGACGCCATGGCTCATCCCCAGCGGCGGCTGCTTTGCCCCTCGCCGGAGCCCTTGCCGGGGCCTCGGCCCTTATGGGAAGAGCCCTTGGCCGCCAACACAATGGCCATGGCTTCGTCTCGTGACCACGGTGCTCCGGTTCCGGCCCATCTTCACGGCGACGGCTCGGAGGCTCGGGCGAGTGGCGCGGGCTGCGCGAGCGCTCCCTGCTCGGCTCTCTGCTGTCTGTCCGACGCGGAGGCTCGTTGAGCAAAGAGGGCCAACGCGGACGCGACCCCGAACAGCAAAGTTGCTGTGGCGGCCATGGCGGCAGCGCCGGCGAGTGCACCATGCGCTGGAGGCGGCGCACGGCCTCGCAACAATCGCACGCGCCACCATCCACTGCGGCGCGAGTGTGGCACACGTGGCAAGCCATTGCGTCGAAGCGTGTGCTGCCGGGCAACCTGTGAACGAAAACGGCTGGTTTGGTTGTTACAATGTTTGTACCAACACAAAACTGGTACAGTGATTGGTGAAACAGGCTGTGTTCTCAGTCCCCGACTATTCGGTTGCGTCTTGGAAGTTGCACTGGTTGCATGGCGAAATGATGTTGGACACTTGGGTATTGATTTTCAGGATGGGCTTGCAGAACCGCTTGACTTGCGCTTGGCTGACGATACTTTATTGTTCGCCATGACACGGGACGAAGCTGCACGGATTTTGGATGCAATCGTCCAGGCTCTCGCCGCAGTGGTTCTTTTGAACCCAACACAAACCAAGGTTTAACCACAGAAGCACAGCCACCGTCTTGTCAACGCCGATGGTTTGAGGTTTGGTCGTGGATGTACTAAACAGAGAAGATTCGCATAAGTGGTTGGGATGTTTGCCTTGCATGCAGTTGATACTGAACATCATGTGCAAGCTACATTCAAAGCATTTTTTGCCAGTCGATGGCACCATCTGGCACAGACTGGTCCGTAGAATGGCATGTGATCTTGCATGGTTGGAACCGCCGTGTTTCAGAGCAGATACAAGCATGCAACGTTTCGACCTGGTTTGACCGATGCTTGCGCTCTTACTGGCGATTTGTGCAATATATGGTTTCCCTACCTGCTGATCGGTGGGTCAGACGTGCTTTGAGCTGGGTTCCGAATTGGTCTCGTCGCATGGGGCGACCCAGGTACCAGTGGGATTCCGTGCTTCATAACTTCTGTCGGTGGAAACGATGTGAGAACTGGCAACTTGAAGCCCAAGATGAGGCGAGATGGTCAACACTGTTTTCGGGTTTTTTGTCCTTCCTGGACCACGTGTGAGCGCTGCTTTTCTGTATAGTTTATGCTAAATTTGCCTTAGCCCTAAATGGACTGCCCACGGGCTTTCAGGCCTGACTTGACTGACTTGAGGTGTACTTTGTCGCTCGCTACGGCAGCGTGCCGTGTTTCGAATAGCCCGGGTGCGATGGTCGAGGATGCGATTATTCCGTGTTGCGACACGTACACCCGTCTCACCTGTTTGATGCATTTTGTTGTTGCTGTGTGTGGTGATCCTGTTACGTCACGTATTATGTCTCATTTCCTGACCACAACACATGGTCGTTCGAAGCCAGGTCTTTCTTGATGCGTTGCGCGCGCCTGCGCGGCACTGCTGTCGCGCTCTGGATCAGCGGCGGCGCCTCTTCAAGCTTGTGCCAGCAGCCCTCCTCGACTTCCAGCCCAATTCGCCGGTCGTGCCGATGCCGCCGTCAGGCCCTGCGGCCGTGGCACCGTTGCCGGGCTTTCAGGCCCGCTTTCGGGATTGGGTTGGGCCGCGACAGGCACACGTCACGTCCCTTGCTGAGCTGCTCCCCGCAATTGCGGTTCAGCATGAGGGTCAGAATCTCGTGGCGCCTTTGCCGGAGGTCCTGCTGATGCTGCTTCTAGGCCCTCCTGTGGTTGGCGCTCTCGAAAGGCTTGTTGACGACTTGCGACGGCTGCTGCCCGCACCCACCTGTGATTCGCTGGGCCCTGACGCCGCTGGCGCTGCCCAACCCATCAGTGCTGGCACGCTCACTCCGACGCGCGGGGCAATGCCGACGTTGAGCCAACGGAGCCGCCTGCAGCTTCTCCAATCGGCCGGGCCCACACAGGCCAGGCTGTGGGCTCCGACGCCTAGCATGGTGGATGAATATGTTGCACTCGTCGCAGCGTCAGTAGTCGGTAGTGGAATCAGAACGCCATGCACGGATGGGGAAGGGGGACGGGGGATGGGGGACATAAAAACGGGCGACGGGGGACGGGGGGACGAGGGCACGGGGGGATGGGGGGACGGGGGGACGGGGGGATGGGGGGACGGGGGGATGGGGGGACGGGGGGACGGGGGGATGGGGATGGGGCGGACGGGGGGACGGGGGGACGGGGGGACGGGGGGACGGGGGGATGGGGGGATGGGGGGACGGAAAGACGAAAGACGGGGATTGGGGAGCTCCAAGCCGAGCCCTCCGCCTGCCCCACCCAATGCTTCTGAACGTCGTGCCCTGTCCGCCGAAGCGGCGTTTCGAATAGGGTTGATAAGGTTGAAAGATGTTGAAAGTTTGGATGACGAAGAGCTGGAGGCCACGTCCTCGAGGCCCGCTGCCGCAGGTTTGCTACATGGCTCTCCACATGGCACTGGCCCAGCGTGCCTGCGAGCCGCTGAGGCTGGTCGGCAGATACTCCTCAACGATCCTCAAACGAAGGATGGGTCGATGTGCCACCCGGCCAGGGGTTGCTAGGGGGGCGACCCGAATTTGACGCCACTGAGCCTGGCGGGTGGGTGCATGGATGGCAGTTTCAAGCGTCGCGTACTCGGAACCGTTTCTTCCGCGACCGTGTGTTGCTGCCTTCCTCGTCGCCCGTTCACCGCACTCGTGTGCATTCACAGGCTGGGCCCCATGCCATGCCGGCGCATGGCTCATGGCCATCCAAGTGACCCCACGCTACGCCCCCCCCGGAGATGATCATTTATGCGACGCATTCGCCTGTCGCTTCCGCTGGCCGCGCGGCGTTTTGGCGGGGATGGCGGGCAGTCCATCCCGGGGTGTGGCCACCTCGTCGATGAGCACAAAGGTCGTCGAGCGTACGTGGATGCACGTCGCACGCGAGCAGCGCTCGGAGGGCCAAAGTGGGGCCGCAGCAGTGGCTGGCCCACACCACCGCGCCTGGAGTAACCTCAGGGACCGTCGGCGGCTGGACCTCGTCATGGAGTGACCCCGGTTGGGAGGGGCGCTTTGCTGCCATGCCACGCTCGTATCGCCGCTGGCGAGGGACGGCACGCTGCGAACTGGATCGGACAGGGCAGCGAAAGTGTCGTGCCAGGGGCGATGGCTGCCGGCCGTCAGGACTCCTCGCGCGGTCGGATTACCTGCAGGCGGCTTGGCGGCAAGGGCGAGGGCATCCGCCCCGCTGCAAGCACCCTTGGACATGTGAGCAGGGGAATGACATGTCGGTTTGACATTGGTGGGGGGATCGCAGGGTTGACGCGGTTCGACGGGTGCAACGTTGAAGGTGAACTTCATCGGTCCCAGATGTGTCCTCATGCGCAGATAGGTTCGTCATGAAAAGCGCATGGCACGACAGGGCCATCACCCGCAGCCTCGTAACCAGACATGAACCTGGAATATCCCTGAGCACTTAAAGGCTCCAGCCGGAATGCATCTCTTGTTTTCCTTCGCTGGTGTATTGGTCGGCATGCACCGGACGATGGATAACCAGCCCTCTAGCCACAAGAGCCCCATGTTCGCATGTGGGCTTCTCTGCGTAGCCTCGCAAAAGGCAGCACCCCTTAGGGTAATGCGAAATTGCCATTCATTGAAGTCACTGCCTTCCGTCAAGGCTTGGGCAAGGATTTGCAGTTAAGAGGGTTCACTTGAGTCGAAATCCTGAACTGCTCTATCCTTATAACGCCCATAATTTTCAGGAACAGGGAATCCCACAAAAATATCCTAGAGTGCCCGGCCCTGAAGAATCCTCAGACATTTTCCTGGAACGTCGACCCCCAGAAAATCCCGCAGAGCATCCTCCAGAGAATCTCACTGATTATCCCAGCTGAGTGCCCGCCACCCGAGAATTCCCACACAGCACGATTTCCCTTGAGAGCACACCCCCCAGACCACAGAGAATCTCCCAACAGCATCTGCACTACTCAGCCTGGAACCTCTACCCCCGAAAAACAAACAACAAGTCGGTAGCGCATTGATTTCCAGAAGCCAGACAACATCAGGACTTCACAGTATAGCTAAGAGCACCAAAAACTTACTCTTCACCGTCTTCATCTTACAGAGCAGCGTGCTGGATAGATGTAAGGTGCAAAGGCATGGCTCTTGAGTTTCCAGACTGCTCGGGGCAATCCCAAGCCTTGTAAACGGAGGCTGGACATAGCGCCAAAGGCTCACGTAAATGACAGGGGGCAGCCTCCCGCCCCCTGCTCCTCTACGTAGGGTTGCTACCTGGTCGCCGAGACTGAGGGCCCTAGCGGCCCCCTGCTCAGCGACAAGGTGACAAGGGTGCCAAGTGTCCACTTCTTGTCGACATCTTTGCCTCTTAGGCCTTCTCAAAGTACTCCGAGACCAAACAGACAACCCCGAATTCAACAAGTCTTGGCATAAGAGGTGTTGTCAATCACTGGCCAAAGGCCACTTGACAAAAAGGGCCGGCAGATGGATAAGGAGCATCTAAAATCTAGATTCGCTGCCGTTTTCGGCGGTGACCGAAAGCAACTTGAAAAGAACAGACAGACCTTCGCACCGCCAAGCCCAGGGGTTTTAGTGTATGCTTGCACACGGCAATCGCAAGCTGCCACAATTAGTTGGGGTCTTGGATGCCCGACTAAGTCCTGGAGAGACCACAACATTCCCCTCCAAGCTCCGGGTGGTAAGGCCTTCTAAACTGCACATGGTCCATTTGAGGAGCTGCCAAAGAGCTGAGTTGGTTGGTTTATTCCGTCGGCGCTACAGACAGCGCACGTGATGTGCCGATGCGAAGCCTGTGTCCGAGAAGAAAAGGTCACTGCAGCAGGTTGCTACGTAACTACGGGGCTCACAAACGCATTTAGGATAAGCACCCGAGTCATGGGCTGCTTTAAACCGGCTGGAAGCCTCTGCAGGAGGGTTTTTGGGCTTGAAGGCCACAACCCTTTAGGGCGCAAGGAGCTGCCTGACTCAGTCGTCATGGTGCGCGACTCCTGGGCCCATGATCCCATTTACTCTGTCTACACCGATTTTTGGATCATCGAAGCTCTGAGGGCCCATGTTATGGGGCGCTGGGCTCTTGAGTGACGTTCTGACGCTCACTGACCATGCGAACTTTATGCAAGGCCAACAGGGCTCTGCACCCCCTTAGAGCCCTAAAACTGTAAACGATGGCAACCGTAGAGCCGAACACCCCGCCTGGTCTCCATGGGAGGCGCCGCAGGGCTTGCGCTACCTGGCTTCAGATCGGAGGGGCCTCTTGCGCCTCGGAAAAGGAGACAACGCCACAAGCTGGGAACACGACATACCTCTACCCCGTACGGCCCGTACCTGAAAAACTAGAACAGGCCCAAGCCCGACTGCCTTCACTGGAAAGCTCCACGCGCCTGCATCGCCGCTTTTGTGTGGGCACGCTCGATCGGCTTGTCGTCGATATGCGTCAAAGTCCACTTCTCCTTCGTCGTTCAGCAGACCCCATAAAGGGCGACAGAGCTAGAGAAACTCCCTTAAGGCTCTAAACGTGCTCAAATTCGTTCAAGATTGAGGTGTGCAGAATCTCCTGCTCGTCCCGGATGATCCTACTTCAAGCCCTTCCGATGTTTGAGCTGTGAGGGCACGTGCAGAGATACGTACACTGGAACATACAATGGTGCGATTGCTTGATGCTTGGGGGGAACGACGCTCGGGAACAGGAAATTGAAATGATTACATGTACAATGATACAAAAGTTCTCCTCGAGTTTGGTGCTGCCGTCATATTCCCTGCCAACGGCCTCCACTTTGAACGGCCAGTCCTGGAAGGTCTTGCAGCTTGCGTTCGAACAAACAGTGGCTTCCCCCCCTCCCCCAATCTTCCTAAAGAAGTGGCTTAGAGCATGCTAGAGCGCCAGTGCCAAGATGTCCCGGTCCTTTGAGAATCGCACGTAGATGGGCCGATGAGTGAAGTGGACGGTCACTTCCCTCTTGTCCAGGCGCCGAAAAGTCAAAGACAGGCAGCTCCCAGCTTCAACCTGGAGTGCAGTCGGAGTGTACGGCAGAACTTCAGGGGCCCCGTTTTGTGGCTTCGGTAGCTGTGGGGCCGCAACAGCAGTTCGGTCAACTTCCCAGGAATCGTAGAGCTTCTGTTTCGGGATTCACCAGCAGTCCCAATTCAGGGCACACAAGAAACGAGCCATGGGGAGCACGGCGAAATGGGAAACGGAAAACGTGATCTTCCAGCGACCTGCCAAACTGGACCCCGGCGCACGCATTTACCGTTCCAGCAAACGGGATGTTTCTGCAAGTGCTGGTGACCGCCCCGCTCCCAAAAGGAAACTCTGCACAGCCCGAGCGTGGTGGCTCACAATCTTTTGAAGCTTCTGGCCTCTCGAAAGTTGTTCTTCAGCTCGAATGCGGTCGGTTCAGTCTTCCTTCGGGACGACCTTCTCTCGATTCTGATGCTGTCCTGCAGAAGGCAGCCAGGACCCGGCTTCTCAACGGAGGCTTATGTGGTGCGCATTTTCGTCAGGAACTTCAAACTCTGCAGGCAGCAAGCTTCACACTCAGTTTAGGTACTTACGGTCCATCCGACAATCCAGGTTCTGGTCAGTCGTGAGCCCGGGAACCACGAAACCCAAACTCTGAGATGGACACAGTCTCCCGATATCCCCCCACAATCAGTACAAGTACCTTCCGGCCTCTTGACAACTGAGTGGGGCCTCCATGGTTGCAGCCCCCAGCTGGAACGAGGCGGGGGCCACCGAGTGAAGCAGGGGCTCGGTCCTGGCCTGCAAAGGCTGCAGCGCAGAGGAATGCAAAAGGTTTTGCTGTTGTGAACCAACAAGGGCGGCCATTATATATACATTCTCGACATAAAGTTTGTTAATGTGGCTGATTTAGATCATTATGTTCTTTCATTTTCTTATTCTCAAAAACTATCACATTCTTCAGGATAAAAACCATTCATTACATCTAAAGTCTTCACGAACACGTCTTGGCCAATCAACTTGCGCTGTCCGAGGCATCTCGAATGTTCGGACTTGTTGTTATTCTTTCTCTCGGTTGTTGCTTGTCCTTATTCTTCGTATTCTTCTTGTTCTTCTGATTCTTCTGATTCTTCTGATTCTTCTGATTCTTCTGATTCTTCTGATTCTTCTGATTCTTCTGATTCTTCTGATTCTTCTGATTCTTCTGATTCTTCTGATTCTTCTGATTCTTCTGATTCTTCTGATTCTTCTGATTCTTCTGATTCTTCTTCTTCTTCTTCTTCTTCTTCTTCTTCTTCTTATTCTTCTTATTCTTCTTATTCTTCTTATTCTTCTTATTCTTCTTATTCTTCTTATTCTTCTTATTCTTCTTATTCTTCTTATTCTTCTTATTCTTCTTATTCTTCTTATTCTTCTTATTCTTCTTATTCTTCTTATTCTTCTTATTCTTCTTATTCTTCTTTCTTCTTATTCTTCTTATTCTTCTTATTCTTCTTATTCTTCTTATTCTTCTAAATCTTCGTTTTTCTTCTTATTCTTCTTATTCTTCCTATGCTTCCTATGCTTCTTATCCTGCTTCTTATCCTGCTTCTTATCCTGCTTCTTATCCTGCTTCTTATCCTGCTTCTTATCCTGCTTCTTATCCTGCTTCTTGTCCTGCTTCTTATCCTGCTTCTTATCCTTCTTCTTATCCTTCTTCTTATCCTTCTTCTTATCCTTCTTCTTATCCTTCTTCTTATCCTTCTTCTTATCCTTCTTCTTATCCTTCTTCTTATCCTTCTTCTTATCCTTCTTCTTATCCTTCTTCTTATCCTTCTTCTTATCCTTCTTCTTATCCTTCTTTTCTTCTTCTTCTTCTGATTATTATTCTTCTTATTAGTATTCTTCTTATTCTTCTTACCATTCTTTTTATCATTCTTCTTATCATTCTTCTTATCATTCTTCGTATCATTCTTCTTATCATTCTTCTTATCATTCTTCTTATCATTCTTCTTATCATTCTTCTTATCATTCTTCTTATCATTCTTCTTATCATTCTTCTTATCATTCTTCTTATCATTCTTCTTATCATTCTTCTTATCATTCTTCTTATTCTTCTTATTCTGCGTATTGTGCGTATTGTGCGTATTCTGCGTCTTCGTCTTCGGCTTCGTCTTATTACTGATCTTCTTCTTCTTCTCCTTCTCCTTCTCCTTCTCCTTCTCCTTCTGCTTCTTCTTCTTCTTCTGTTTCTTCTTCTGCTTTCTCTCCTCCTTCTTCTTCTTTTCTTCTTCTTCTTCTTCTTCTTCTTCTTCTCATTGTTGCTCTCTCTCTCTCACTCTCTCTCTCTCTCTCTGTCTCGCTCTCTCTTCTTCTTCTTCTCCTTCTTCTTCTTTTGAGCAGCGAAACTCTCAGAAGCTGCCCCCCAGGTCTTGTAAACATGAAGCCTTCTCAGCTCTCAGTTCACCTCGTCCCTGTCATTGTCTCCACAGCGGCTTTGTACGTACACGTCGTCAGAAGAGTCCCCTCCGGTCAAAGAGGCAGCTCAAAAACATGCGTGGCACTCACGGCCGATCCTAACTTATGCACGGGCCCGGCACATTTATAGTCGAGTTTCGGAAGCGTTCACCGTTCACCACATCTACCCGCTGCCTTGGACGGTCAACCCTTAATTCTGTCATTTTCCCCCGGTGATGGGCCGGCGAGCAGAAGGTTCGGAGCCAGGTCTGCGGCGCGCCCGTACTCGACATCACTCCAAGGGCTGCCCTCATTTTTCTCGGCCCCTACGTCGGCATTTGCTGGGAAGCCCCCATAGCTGATCACAACCCTGCCCGCGCTGCACCTGAGTGTTCGATGATGTTCGATGTAGAGGTTCATGTGGCGGCTGCCAGAGTGTCTTGGCCCCGCCCATCAGGAACTCGGTACTTGTCGCTCCCACTTTGATCCGCTCGCGGCAGCAGCGAGTTGCTCAAGGCGGGGGTGGGTCCCGCCTTGAGACAAAAACTCTCTCTCTCTCTCTCTCTCTTTCCCCCACGCATGACCCCCCGAAGGGAGGACGCCCCCAGGGGCGCGTGCTGTCCGAGGTTCAGTCTGTTGCTGTGGCCGTGGTTTTCACGGCAAACACAAAGCAGTGGGGTTGGGGTTCGAGTGCTTTTCGCCAAGATGCTTCCCCCATGGAGAACCCCCAGCCTAAAACACCAGATGTTAGCATTTCTCCCGCCTCTGTGCTCCCCTTGGACTGCTTAAACTCTGTCTGTCTCTCTTCTTCTTCTTCTTCTTCTTCTTCTTCTTCTTCTTCTTCTTCTTCTTCTTCAGGGCTTGAAGGGCCCGAAAGCCCCCCGCGTGCACAGGCGCACTCAGTTCACGAGGCTCTCTCTTTCTCCCTCTCTCGCTGAGAGGGCGGAAAAAACAAAAGACCGCACCTAGCAGGAGCAAAACATGAACGACAGTCCGGCTGGTGCATCATCCAGTGAAATATGCCCCCGGGCGCAGCATTGTCAAGCTGGACTGGTGCGTTTCACCGTTGCAAGGTGAACGAAAAAAGCGGGGCTCCCCCTCTGTCTCTTCTTCTGCCGCCCTCGCATTATCTCTCCCTCTCAGGCCGGCGGCCACCTGGGCTTGTCTGAAAATCAAAGTGGCTTTGCACCGGTTCTGAATCCCACTGAGGAGGCCATATTTTCGCATGCTCGTCTGGCCTCTTGAGAAGTGTTCTTCAGCTCGAACGCGGTCGGTTCAGTCTTTCTTCGGGACGACCTTCTCTCGATTCTGGTGCTGTCCTGCAGAAGGCAGCCAGGACCCGGCTTCTCAACGGAGGGCTTATGCGGCGGGCATGCTGTATAGTGGGCCCCCTCTCTATGCGCTGCGCTGAGGACCTCCACCGTGTCTTCCTGGACGTGCTGGACATAGCCAGGGTGCGCAGTACCTGCTGCGTCAGAGTTCGGGTTTGGATTTGGAAATTTGGAGTACAATGTCCATCGGGGAAGTTTTCTCCGTTTTCAACTGCGTGGAATCCTACAAGGCCTACCGCAACTTCTTGAGCCCGATGGCCATAAAATCAAAGTTAGCTTTCGAACACACTGCCTGGCAGGACCGTGTCCGACTTGGTCTGAGGCTTGCTCACCTGGTGCGCCCGGCTAGAAAAGAGAGTCACCTCGCAAAAGACCCGAGACATGTATCTTGGAGCGAGCTTGCAGTCCGAGAAGCAGCTCTCCTCAGCTTCACATGAGGGGTCGGAGGATTTCGCGCCGCTATCACGGCAGTCTTGAGATCGGCGCATGGAGCATCCCGCGGCCTCTGATCGGCTTCAGCATCTTCAGCTTCAGCGCTTTCAGCCATGACCTCCTCTCCAACATCCAGGCCGCTCGCCGCGGCACATAACCAGAACATTGCGAGGTCCTGTGACTACTCAGGCCCTCAAAGGCACAGAAACGCTGCAGGCGACAAGTAGACAGGCTGCGAAGAGCTTTCGGAGTCGCCGCGTCAACCCAGACACCCTAAAACTCTGTCGAAGCAAAAAGTGCTGCAGGCTTCCTTGCTGAGCCATCTCCGCTAAAGTTTAATCTACAGTCGCTACCTTTAAGGTGCCTGAACCATCAGGCTAATAGGGCGACTAGGAATATTGAGCTTCAACCTGAGGGGAAGAGCCTCGAAACATGGAAACTGCATCACAACGCTTCTGGAACTGGAACTCGGTGTGGACCGGCCAATGCTCGACAAACGTGGCAATGGCACTCGAGGCTGTGGCTCGTGGCTCGGGTTTAGTGAGTCTAGGGACCTTGGGGAGTTTGGGGAGTCGGTACAAGTAATCACTAGCAATCACCAGCAGCCAGGTTTTCTGGTGTATTCAGACGGCCTTTCCCTGGAGAGGCGCGCGCGCGGGGTCTCCTGCGCTCAAGTCTGCGCAGGGCCCTGGCTTCGTCAGGACCCTGGCGCAGTACCTTGAAGCGGTGTCGACATTGCAAAATATGCAAAATAGGGGTTTTGATGGGCCCTGCATCCTCTGGGCTTCTCTGCGCCTTTCTATGCGTACCAAAAGGTTGCCCAAGGGTGCAGGGGCCGTGGTCACAGGGGAAACTGCGCTTCGCAGATCAAGAGGGTGGCGTGGCGTGGCTTCAAGCAGCCCGCAGCGTCTTTTAGACGAAAGAGCTGCCCGGCAGCTGGCCCCACATGGGCTCACCATGCCTCAAAGCAAAAGTTTGTTCGCTGAGAGGCAAAATCGCTCCACGAACGCTGAGGGCTTGCAAGGTCTGGACACCTCATATCCTTGAACTAGTGGCATCTGCGGAGCTAAAGATTTAAAGGGTTTAGGTGTTGCAGAGGGTTAGCGGATGTTTGCGGAGCAATTTCTGACAGCCGTGCCACTCAGCCAGCTGCACCGCGTAGTACTGTACTGTACAGGCATCGTAACAATGTGGCTATTTCTAGAACGTGCTTCCGGACAGCAAGCTTCCGGAAAGCAATTGCGCCTAAAGTTTAAAAGACCTAAAGCACCTGCTTCTTGTGCTCCGAGCCCCTACAGAATGCAACTCCCCACATGTGAAATCCCCGAACACGCGCGCTACAAACTTGCTTCGCGAGCATTGACGGGCCGGCTCGGCCCTGGCTCAAGCTGGTAAAAAATGTCTTGGAAGCTCTTGTCCACGTGCTCACGGCAAACACCTCCACGGGTTTCAAGGGAAGTGTCTCAAACTTTCGAAGCGAAGCATGGCGGAAAATGCGGAAACAAAAAACTCGAAGCTCTCGAAGGTTCTCACACCCCAACACAAAAGAGCCAGCAGCTACCAAGCATGCTCCCGGCGAAGTCCCCCAAACCCAACCAAAACATCACCAAACCCAACATCTGCAACCACACGCCCAAGAAGCCCCCGCCAGAATGCCATAGCGCCACGGCACCTAGTGCGTCTTTAATGTGCTTGCGAAGCTCGCTGTTGATCCCGTCCCAGCTTTTGCGCTCCTTACACATGGGGGAGGTGTCCGATTTCGGCTCCAGTGCCTCTCTAGGGCTACAGCTCCTGTTTTCAGTACCTTTCAGGTTTTTTGGCAAGTTTAGGGTTTTGGGAGGCTGCCCCAGGTCCTTGAGGATGAGCTCCTGGATTGTCTTCCCGTCCTGCAGGGGGGGCGGTCGGCCAAGGACCTCAAGACCCCAAAGAGCCTGAAACCCCCAAGCGTGTTTCAGGCTGAACCACCATCCTCTTGAACTCTATGCCGCAACAAGGCTCTTCAAACCCCCAAACCACAGTGTAACCGCTTTGATCCAAGAGGGGACCATTCCGAGCCGCGTAGAAGTACAAAATGGTTCTAGCCCATTTTACCACGCGGTTAGCCCGCTTTGCTGTCGAACGTGAACAGGGGCCCGCCCTGGCCCCCGCAACCTCTTTCCGTCTCCAATCGCTTCTTTTCGCTCTCACATCTCCCACGAATCATCCCTTCGAGCCCTGCTCCGCTTCATGGTTCATCTTGTTTCTTTTCGTTGTTGGGGAACAGAGTTCATTATTTAGATGCGACCGGAGCAGGAATCCCGAAGATGCGTTGAATAAGGGGCCTTAGGGGTGGGAGCGAGACCTGCGTTGCTTCCTGGATGCTTAGTTTGCCGGGGTTTCCTGGCATGCGGCTTTCGGCTGCTGATGCAAGCACTAACTCACCTCCTGCCTGACACACTCCCTCAGCCTAATGACCAAAGCAAACCTCCCAAAGCTGTAGACGCCTCTGTGATGGGAAAATATATGGAGCCAAAAGGATCCTTGCGACTACGTCTAAAACATGTGTTGCTTTCATACTTGCTTATGCAATGTACTGCGGAGCTTTTGGATGTTAGGGTTCTTGGATATGCACCACGTAAGAAGCGAACATCGGGAGTGAGTCAGGGAATACGTCAATGAATGCATTTGCTTTTGAGCGAGTGCTCAAACCATTGAAAGGAAAGAAAGGGGAACTTCTGCGGCAGCGGCTGTGGCACTCAGTTTGCCGGAATTCGGCATGCCCTCGGCAACCTTTCGGCCGATGAGAGGGCCCCGAGTTGGGATGGGCTTCGGGCACCAGCGAGGTCAAATTGACATGATCGCGCCCCAACCCCCCTATGCGGGTCAGCGGGCAGGCGGAAATCCTCCGGACGGGTGGAGATCGCATCCTCGAGGGACAGTGACGACAGCTTCTTGCCAATGTTCATGGCCTCGGCATCATTGGCTTTGGACTTGAAGCTTTCGGGTCCCTGTACTCCCTCGGACCGCCGAATCCCTGGCAACCTCCAACAAATGTGGGGTCCCAAGCCCTAAACCCTAAACCTAAACCCTAAAACCGAAACCCGAAACCCGAAACCCTAAACCATGTAGAAGGGTAGGGGGCGGGGGGGGGGGGGGGGCTTTGTGTTACCTGCAAATGGCACCGCCAGAACCAGCGGAGCGGCCACTTCGGTGGTGGACTGGCCCAAGTTGAGGACCTAGGCTCTTTTTTGCAAAACGAATCTGGAAAGAATGCATCTGAAGATAAGATCATCATATAGGATAAGATAAGATAAGATGAGACAAGAGAATGTTTCGTAACACATGATAATGCAAGATAATGCTAGATCATGCTTGAAGAAAATATGAGAGCATGGACACGAATGATGCCAAAACAGGAGTACAACCAACCTTCGAATTACCGATGAAAATGGCCAACGCCGTTTTTAAGTACACGAATTACATGCTAGTCAAAAACCAGCTACATAGTATGTTTTACCAGAAGCATAGAAAAGCCTAGAAAACCACAACTTTCGCTTCGGAACCCTAAACCCACATCAGAAGCCCTGGGCCCTAAACCATGAGAACAAGGCAAAGGAACCCCTGGGCCCGAGACCATGAGAACAAGAAAGATCGTACACTGCCTCAAAGCCAAGCATCCCCTGTGTTGGTGCAGAAGCGCAGGCCCTGAAAGTTCGACCTGGCACGGAAAACCGGGAAAAATGTTCAGGCGCGGGGGTTTCAAGGTAGGGCTGAAGGGACCTTGCAGCATACTTAAAAGGTTTTAGGGCTTTGGGCTTGAGGTTTCGACATCCACGGCCCGCGCGTGCCGAGGCCCGTCGCCGTTTAGCTGTCAGGCTTCACTTCGCCCATGGCCCCCCCGAACACCCGAAACCCTCAAGCACCGAAACCTCAAAAGTCTCAAAAGCCTAGAAATGCCTACACCGCTCCAGATTCATGGTCTGCAGCAGCTCGAAAAGGCACCAGGACCTGCATCGGATGCTTCCTGTGTTTGGCTCAGCAGGGTTGCCTCGATGCAGACTCGGGCATGAATTCTGAACCCCCTGGCCCAAACCCCAAACGGGCCCTGCCCCAATCCGAGCCAAAACCAAGACTGGAAACCACATAACCCCAAGCCCTAAGCCCCAAACCTTAATCCCTGAACTCTTGCCCCTCCTGCCTTGTCAAAGGTAGGGCCTGCCTGGGAGTTGGAACTACTGCAGGCCTTCTATATAGGGTGTTCAGGGAGCTGCAGGGCGGGTGGCTGAAGCGAAAAGTTGCCCGTCGTACTTAGGATTCGGGGCTTTGCATGGTTCGGATAGCCAGGTGCACAATGTCCCAGAACCGTTGCGCAGAAGTCGACTAGTCTTTTGTTGTTCTTGCTGGTCTTGCTAGCTCTTGAGAGTTGGATGTAGGCTGTGTCCAGATTAGTGCTGCCAGCGTGCTCATCTAGGACCATGACCGTTCCGACCACGGATGGGCTGTGTAGCGCCAGGAAGAACGAAGACTCCTCGTGGGTGGCCCCCAACCTCAGAGGGACTCGGGCTTGTAGGTTGTAGAGGTGGGAGAGCTTACGCCGTGTACTCTGCTTCTATCCCGGATGTCTAAACACTTCGCCCCCAAACCCTACAACCCACATTCTCAAGGCCCCAAGGCCCTACACCCTCACCAACAAGCGCTTTGATTGCAAAAACCCAGCAGCTCTTCGGCGACTTTGTACTGGTTGTTGCCTGGGCTTATCTTGCCACAAGGCTTGGGATAAAAGGCAGGAGAGGACTTCGGAGTGTTTCAGGCATGGACGAAAACAAAAGTTGAGGCTTATAGCTTGTCGGGCATTTAGGAACCTCGTGCCGTCTTAAGCCCTGAATCCCAAATCCACGGGAACCGGTGCTGCAACATGTCACCTGATTCCTGAGGCAGCGGCTGAATGCACAGATCCAGTAGGAGATGGGAAGGCGGCTCTTCAAGCTGTCGTGACTCTGGCCACTGGGAGAGCTACTGCCAACCTGGGGGTTTTTGGCGCTGCGAGATTCGGGCTTTTGGGCCTTTCGGGCTCAGGGTTACACCTGAACATGCCATCCTCCCTTCTGGCAGCGCTCTTTGATAGGGGCTAGTACGTTTGCATGCCTGTTGTACATGCTGCTACTTTAAGAGTGAACACTAAGTCACTTAAGTGTAGGGGCTGGGGCTCACTAGGATTTAAGGCTGTGCAGGGCTCGAGGCCTTCTAGGCCAGCACCACGAACGAACGCAACCGCAACCACAGCCACCACGGCAGCACCACCGACGGTCGCACCAACGACGAGCACCAGCACTATCAATCACAACGACACCGACAACACTCAACGACTCACTTGTTTCCACAGCACTCAACGGCAGCCCACACTAATCAGCAACCAACAAACAACGACAACGCCGCACGACAAGCCACCAAGAACGTTGGATCTTTTGCAGCCTCGTGGCATGCGCCGCCCCATTCTTCCACACCAGAACCTCCTTGCTGGCAGACAACAGCGCTTCCTTGTTCCAGACCGACATCGCGTGAAGCTTCAAGGCCTTGACCGTGTACGAGAAGTTGGTGCCCCAATAGTGAGACACAAACCTGAGCTCGAGCGCCCTCTAAGGATGGAGCCCAGAGGCCTTGAGGGCAGATTCCAGCTTCTTACCAAGACGACATTGGCACGGCCAAGCTTCACCATCATCTCGCAAACAACATCGAACTAGCATGTCGAGCAATGCAACCTAGGGCCTGGGGTCTAGGGCCTAGCGCTTCAAGTCCTCCTCCTCCTCCGCCGCAAACCCGGACTCTTGGGTTCACTCAAGCCCAGGTGCCAGTCGACCTTCGAAGGTCCCATGAACTCGGCGAGGGAAAGCCGGCAACTCCTTACGCCGAGGGAGGCCAAGAACAATCGGCTTGGTTTTCGTCGATGTTGTTTGCCAGTGGCTAGGATGGGGCTCAGGGCTCTGAGATGCACTAGGGGCATCCTAGGGCCTAGGGCTTAGGGTGTAGAGCCCGAGGTTCAGGTGATCCCTTGAAGATCGCCAAGGGGCTGCGTAAGCGGGCGTACGATGTTGCTGTCCACGTAGTAGAGGTTCCGGTCCTTGCAGGGAAGGCGCAGCTGAACTTGCAGTGGCGGTGGAAAGCAGTTGGCACCCATCGAGATTCTCAGCATCCTGGTCTAGAGTCTCGAGCTTCCATGGGTCAACACGAGTCTAGGAGAAGGCTTTGTGAAACGTTCCGGCGTTGAACGCAGCTTTTCCGGTCCCGGTGCTTGGGGTTCAAGTTCAAGGTCTCGGCTTTAGGGCCTCTCACCAGCAGGTTTACGCTTTCGGACTTCAGGTTGGCGTCGCAATTTACGTTCAAGAACGCCTCTAAACCTGCCAGAACCCATCCTGGATGAACGACTTGAACTCCTCATACCTGGGCCGCACAGCCGAGTCTGCAGGGCAAGAGGTGGGGCTTAAGTTTCAGGTTGAAGGAAAGAGCTTCTAGGGGCTCGAGGTTCTGTAGGGTGCTTTGGGGCCGTAACGACCGTGGCCCCGCAGGAAGAGCCCTGTAAGTGCCCAGCCCTGTTGGATAGTCGAGTATGTGTCGAAGAGTATGTGTGTATATCTTTACTATATACATACCGATTATGCATATACATATACCTACATCTATACATACACATACACATACGCATACACATACGCATACGCATACGCATACGCATACACATACACATATACATATACGTGTATGTGTATGTGTATGTGCATGCGTATATATATATATATATATATGTATATGCACACTACATAGTTTTATGTATACATGCGGCTCCCTTTAACTATGGCTCTAGAGGAAACTGCTAAGTTGAAGCCGGCGGTGCAGGTCGACGATCTGCGAGATGCTCAGGGCCCGGTCGGGCCCGCGTGGGCAGGCATGTGGCGATGGGTGTACCAGGTGCATCTTGCCTTCGGTATGGCTTGACAATTCTTGGAGATTCTGAAGGTTTGGAGTTTTGGGGGTTTGGGGGTTTGGGGGTTTGGGGGTTTGGGGGTTTGGGGGTGTTGGGGGTTTGGGGGGGTTTTGGGGGTTTTGGGGGGTTTTTGGGGGGGGTTTTGGGGGTTTTGGGGGTTTTGGGGGTTTTTTTGGGGGTTTTGGGGTTTGGGGGTTTTGGTTTTGGGGGTTTTGGGGGTTTGGGGGGTTTGGGGTTTTGGGGTTTTTGGGGTTTGGGGTGTGGGGGTTTGGGGGTTTTGGGGGGGGTTTGGGGGTTTTGGGGGTTTTGGGGGGTTTTGGGGTTTGGGGGTTTTGGGGGTTTTTGGGGGTTTTGGGGTTTTTTGGGGGTTGGGGGTTTTGGGGGTTTGGGGGGGGGTTTTGGGGGGGTTTTGGGGGGTTTTGGGGTTTGGGGGTTTGGGGGGTTTGGGGGTTTGGGGGTTTTGGGGGTTTTGGGGTTTTGGGGGTTTTGGGGGGTTTGGGGGGGGGTTTGGGGGTTTTGGGGGTTTTGGGGTTGGGGGTTTGGGGGTTTTGGGGGTTTTGGGGGCTTTTGGGGGTTTTTGGGGGGGTTTGGGGGGTTTGGGGTTTTGGGTTTTTGGGGTTTTGGGTTTGGGGGTTTGGGGGTTTTGGGGGTTTTGGGGGTTTTGGGGGTTTTGGGGGTTTTGGGGTTTGGGGGTTTGGGGGTTTGGGGGTTTGGGGTTTGGGGTTTGGGGTACTCGGGGCTGAGTTGCGGATTTAAGGGGGTTTGGTAGCCAGAATCAGTGTCTACATGGCCCGAACTTTCCCAGACCCCGGAATCCCAAACTCAAACCGTCAAAGGTTGGCGATCGCTGCGGCATCGACTTTTGAGGACCACTCCGGCCACGGTAGCCCGATCTTGACATCTGTGTTGTTCTGGTTCAAAGTCTACTGCCCGGGTTTCGGGCTTAGGGCTGCAGCGGTGCCCTTGAAGCGATCGATCCGCTCGGAGATGGAATTCCGCGTCGTCTGCGACATCTTGAGGGCCTGGGACCTGGTTGCGAGATCCTTTGGGGGGTTTAGGAGTTCATGGGTTTTCGGGCCCGAGGGTGTGGTTCATGCACGTATCGGGATTTGGAGGAGCTCCAAGACGTTGGGTTGCAGGCGTTAAACCATTAAGCCAAGAACACCCCCCCCCCCCACCATCCACAAGAAGAAGAGCTTTGGATATCGGAGGATTTCGGGACTTTAGGGCTACAGAGGAGCTCATCGCTTCTCCCCGCGGCCAAGTACGATTTCGTTGAGATATGGCTCACATCACAGGGAGATATCAGAGCCGATGAGCCACGAGCAGGAGAGCTTCGACCGGGACCCGAAGCCCCAAACTGCCGCTTTCCAATCCAACATGAAAAGACAATTGCCAGAAAACATTCTGATTCAGTGAGTCGGTGAAATCCCGAAGTTCATCTGAACTCTCCGAACCCGTCATGCGAAGTTCCAGAGGCAAGATTCGCATCACACGCAACACCTTGCATCTGAGTATCGAAAATGCCTGAAACGAACCTGAAAGAGTCTATAGACATAGGCAAGCGGCGCCAAGAAGGCCAGAAGAAACGCGATCAGCCACGCGACCTAAGTCGGGCTTCCAAGCCTCGAGGAGCTGAAGCCCTACTGAAGCATCCCAAGCGCTCATCGACCCACAAGAACTGGGGCTGCAGCGATGACCACTCCGAGATGGACAGGGATGCGTAGACGATCCTTTCTGCTGCCGTGTCGGGGGTGCTGAGGTTCAGGACACCTTTGGGCTTTGAGTGTTGACGATCCTGAAGCCCTTTTTAAACGTCCTAGACATTCTAGGTTTCTGAAACCTGAAGGCCCCCAAAACCCTAAGCATCCTAGGGCCTAGGGCTGGGCATTTTGTCGGGATTTTGCGGGGGTGAGGTTCCGGTCATGCAGAGCATGTTCGGGCTGCGACTTCTGTTGAATTTCGGGACGATGGTGCCAGATCTGCTCTCTTTTCTCCTTGGAGTTTGCTGGCTTGCAAGGGTTTCACGCGGTTTCGGGGGTTTCGGGCCACATGCTGCCAGGAAGCTGAAGAATACAGAAGCAAAGGTATCCCGCAGAGAATCAGCATGGAGGCCAGGATGACAACCGGGATGCCAAACCAGGTGTTGCTGTGGAGGAGCGCGCGGTGCGCGCTGAGAATGATCCATCCATGCGAGGTCTCCGCACCTGGGCGGGTTGCGGGCTTCCAAGCTCTTTGTTTTTGCATGCGCGGCCGGATGCGGGGTGTCTTCAAGAGTTTGGGAATTGAGTGGTTGCGCCTTTGCCTTGTTAAGCGTCCTAGGCCCATCTGGGTTTGACAAACTTGTCTGGGGCTCCGGTTGCAACAGCCAGGGGCTTCAACAGCCGGGCAACTTCGTCCCCGGACACCCAGGGCCTGAACTCGGAACGACCACTTATACCACTTACCCTCAAGTGCCCCAAGCCGCCCAGGCCGTTCTGAACCCAAGGTCGGGGCACTGTCGCTCTTCACCGGCTCCCCGGTCAGATCCAGTAGTTGAAAACTTTTCTTCGAGTGGTACTTCAATCGGTACCAGATGTCTTCCCCCGAAGGGCTCCTGGGTTGAGGAGTATCAGTTAAGGATGCTTCATACATCTTTTGAGTCTTTTGAGTCTTCATTTGTTTAGGGGGTGGGGGGGGGCGGCTGTTAGACTTCAAGGACAACGCGGCACGGACAGCAGGCAGTGCAGCTCTCAAAGACTTCAAGACACTGACTTCACCCCCCGCCCCACCCCAACAGATATATGAAAGGATGAAGATTCTGCACTTTCCACAGGAAGTGTATCACTTTTGCCTCGGATGAGCCAAACCTATTTTATGAGAGGTGTGTGGAGGGGTGTGGGATGGCCCGCTGAAGGGTGTCTAGCTCTTCCTTTCCTAAGGGAAGTGGTAAAAAGAACAAACATGAGATTCACGGCGTTCTATTGGGCATCGGATGGGGGTAGAAGGGCTTCCAAAGATCAGCGAGCACAAGGTTGAAGGTGGCAGATTGAGAGAGGGAGGTAAGAAAGATACGCAGATGACTGAGAGAAATGGAAAGGGGAAATGCATAGACACGGAAGGAAAAGAAGAAGAGAGGACGAGGAAGGCAAGAGAAGAGGAAGGGAAGAGACGAAAGAATGAGGCGTTCCCCTTTGTCATGTTGTAGCTCTAAATCATGCAGGATATGACATGGCTTCCTGACTTGGTCTTCTGGCGGGCCGGGACGGTGCTCAAAAGTGGTTTGGGTAACCGTGTGCATCTTAGGAGCTTCTCCATGCCAAAGAGGTCGGTGCGCCTGAACTTGATGGGGATGGTGCCCAATCCTGAGAAGAAGTGGCTGAGTTTCGAGCTTAAGGCTTCGAGAACTTAGGGTTTCCCCTCCCCCCCTCCCCAACCCTTCGCTTGCGCGCGATGCATTCCCGAGCTGAGCCGGACGAGCCGGACGAGCCGGACGAGCCGGGCCCCATCTACCCCTCGTCATCTCTCGCAAAAAGCCAAAAGGATTCCCGGAAGGTTAAGGGATGTTCAGAAAGGTGCTTGAAGCCTGAAGCACATAACTCAGAGCGGAAATCCGAAGGCTGCTTGGGTATGCAGCTCCCCCCAAACTCTTCGCACAAAGTCACTCTTCTCATGCTATGGGGTTCAGGGTTTAGCGATCTTGTTTGCGAGCGTGCTTGCCACGCGTGCGCATGGGCGGGCGGGCGGGCGGGCAAGCAAGTGCGTGCGCTCAAGTGCGCAGGAAAGCGGGCGGTGTGGGCGTGCGGCAATAGTGTGTTGCACTCGCTTTAGTATCTACGAGACCAAAGAAGCCTTCAGCATCGTTTTGTAGATGACGAAGCTTTTTTCCCGAAATCAGGATCCCCGTGCGAAGAACTTCGCATAAGCATGTGCCTGCGGGCCGTGCCGGGACAGGGGTGCGCGGATGGGCGGACACGAGGACAGGCGCACGTGCGCATGCGGGCGGGCGGGCATACACGACGGGGGGGTGTGCGGGCGGCAAGACGTGCGGGGGCCCCTTTTGACCGAACTCCCCACGAACCCTCAAGCCTAAATCGCTGAATTAACCACAAGTTTTACGGGTGACTCCACTTGAGTCAGGACGCTCTTGGACATGAGATGCTCTCCGACCGTCGTGACGATGACGTGCTGCTCGTCCTGCGCACTGAGGGAAAGAACCCTATACACTCACAAGCCCACAAAAAACCCAAAAAGGCATTGAGGGGGCTTGGGATACCAGGGCTTGAGGCTTCTAAGGATGCTTTAGGCTGCTGAGGTTGAAGGATGTTATGATGTTTGCGAGTTGGTGATTGACCTCCTTCCCCTAACGTAAACATGTGACCTACAGCAGGGACCTCCTCGGTATGCTGACAATTAGGGCTTCAGATGAAACGCGAGGTGAAACGCGGGATCTCCTCGACGGTCGACGGCTTGGAGGACACGTCCTGCTTGCGAATTGGCTTCGTCTGCAGTGCCGCAGCCGCATCTTTCACACCAGCACCCAAAACCCCGAAAATAAAAAAAACAAGATTCAGCGCCCCTCTGATGGAGGAGCAGCCGAAGCACGAAGCCCACAGTCCAACAAAAGCCTTTCCCCCCGTCCTCGATGCCGATCTTTCGCCCGCGGATCGGGAACGCGAATCGGTCTGGGTTGAGAGCTTAGTTGAAGAATGTCCAAAAATCTTCTAAACATCTCTACAGCCATCTGCACCCAAAACTCTCAATCTACTTGTTTAACTTATCAATCTAGTCATTTCACATTCAGTGTGGTAGAGTGGGCATCAGATGCTTATCCCAAGAACGGCGTGCCTTTCTGGCTGAAGTGGACCTCCAGCTGGTAGCAGAACATCAAGAAGCCGCAGAAGATGTAAACATAAACTGAAAGTATGGCCTGCAGCGCAAGGAGGCTCAGAAGAGGCTCTGTCAGCAAAGGCTGACAGCATATACACGATGAAGTGGTGCTGCCTACCAGTACCAACCAGCGTCGCTTGCATTCGGCTACGTGGATTTACTTGGATTTAGGACGATAGAGGGGGATTAAGTCATCCGGTCGAGAGGATGGGTTTAGAGCCCCTCCATTGGCTCAAGCACATTGCGGCCGAGATGCAGCTGTGTTCACAAAGTTCGGCTCGCAGCCATCGCGGCTGAGATTGGGCACCTATGCCAGTTCTGGGTGCAAACTGCATGCCCCCCATCCTGCCAAGCCACCGGCCTCCCAGAACCACGAGCAGGCCCTGCAGGAGCCAGAGCCACTGTAGAGGTAGTCCGGGCCTGAGCTCCATGTGGAGTCCCCTTGTCTAACTCTACCCCCCCCCCCCCGTAGGCTCGGGTGACTCTGAGCGACAGCACCTTTGATTGATATAGCCCAAATTGGAGCTCTGGGACGTGATATCGACACAAGTGTTTGGAATCATCTGCAAAGGAGTGGCAGCATAATGCTTCTGCAGCTGATGATATGAACATAAACCTAGCAAGACCAATCATCCCCGTGCTACAAAGACTCTCTCTGAACCCGTGCCCTCTGGTTCTTTCTTGCCACAAACACCATACATCCATAAACCGCATATACCCCGCAACCCTAAACCCTCAGGCCAAAAAAGAAGGACCAGGGGCGGCACATGGGGGGTTGGCACATCCAACTTTAAGCTTCAGCCACAGGCAACTATGCAAGCCATTATGTGTAGTTGCCATTGCCTGAAATGCTCAGGCCGCTGCACATCATGACCACAGTGCCAACTTCGGTGATGAAGTCACTATTGTCACAGAGCCTTATGTGACAGGGTTCGGCAGCTTGAGCAGCTATCTGGGTTGGATAGAGGTTCAAGAATGCGCATCCATTGATAGGTGCTGCTAATCTTGGAGACTTGGAGATCGGGGCCTTGTATTTCGCTTGCTCACTCGGTCATGTCCATTTCATCAGCTAAGGAAATGGCATGCGTCCTTGCGAGTAGGACGGAGGAAGAAAGATCCACCGAATTTGGTGGCTTTGGTTCAAAGAAGAATGTATGTGAGTCTGCGTTTTCGCTTTCACTTTGTATAACTTTGCCAATGCGGGCTTTCCACCCTGCGCTCCCCAAAGAAGCGCACATTCACAGCCAGCAGTGGAACCTCAGCTTCAGATGGGAGAATGTCGCAAGCCTCTCGTCCTCAACATCTCCTCGTCTCGGCTCCCGTGCTTATCGCGTCGATCAGGGTGCCACACGGTTCCGTGTGGCACTCGATGATTAGGGGTCGCTTGTGCGGATGAGTCAACGAGCGGATGAGCCTCAAGGTGGACTGGGCCACCAGCATCGCAGTCGCGGTGCGGTTTGTCGCATTCTCTGTGAGCAGGCGGCGTGCTAAGATGATGAGAAATGCGGTTGTGAGCTGCCAGCAGTTTGCAAGCTCCAAGGGCACAGCTACGCCGCACTTGATCCCACCGAATAGCTGTCCAGCAAAAAGAGCACGAACAGATAATTGTGCTGTAGCCCTTGTCACAGTGGCTACCATGGCCAACGTTGCATCCTGAGGCGGGCCTGGTGTGTGGATGCGGGCGTGCGTGGGCCTGGTCTAAGTAAGCCCCTGACCACTCTTGGATCTCTCCGAATGATGAAGCGCGAAAACACTACAGACAGCAGGAACTCTACGAAAGCTCATTCGATCTCCACCTGTCCTCTGGGCCCATCCGCGCCCGCCCCGCCCCCCCCGCCCAAAAAAAAATAAAAATAAGAAAGTAAGAAAAGAACAATAAATACCAGCAACTGAGGCAAGATGCACTTGCGGGCTGTAGGAGTAGGAAACTTGGCACCAGCAAAGCTTGTACTCGCCAGACTTCAACCTAGGTTTCAGATGATGGGTTAAGACCGTTGGGGATGGCTTCAGACGTTTTTGAGGGATGATCAACCCAATGAACCGACTTGGCATGGCCCATCGTTTCTAGGAAACCACCGAACATACCGGAGCTACTTCACCAAGACGCTCTCCCTCACGCATGGTGCCGAACGAGAAGTTCCTCGGCACCACGGGCAGTCGTGCTGTGTGCTAGCCAGCACAGGCTCGCCTAAATCTTCAGGGGCTGCGATGGGAGATCATGTGCCAAGACCGGAAGGACGAAAGATTGCCCTCTGCCACGACCCGACAGGTTCGGGGTGAAATTAAAGGTCACAAATGGGGTGATACGGCTTTCAGGGGGACATGCCACCGCAACCTCATCTCGCCCCTTTGAAGTCTTCAACATGCATGCGATCGGGTGTAAGTGTAGGCAGAGCTTGCGCAAGTCCAACTCCAGTCCTGCCCCATGTTCAATTCACCCAACAATCTGAAAGAGCATCCTTACACACTAACATGCTCCAATCTTGCATCAAGGCGCTTCGTTTCGGAAACGCTGCCCCAAGCATTGAGCCTGGGCAGCACCCACATTCAAGACTAAGATGAGGCTTCTTTCGATTGCTTCTTTTGGCACAATGTCTACGTAACCCTCAACTATTGCCGGACCCGTATGCCGTGGCAAATGGGTCAATCTCTTGGATCACACCCCCCGATTGCATGTGCCGGTGGGCCCCATGTGTGCGATGCGAGCTGCGAGCGGAAGCCTAGAAGCAGGCCACCAAGGCTTTGAAACGGGCCATTTTGGGTCACCGTGTCCTGGAGGGTCTTCGACCCTAATGAGCCCCTCCAACGTGCACACGTGTACAGAAAACACAGAAAGTTGAAGGCACGCAAAGCAGGAACACTCCCTGATTACCCCTTCACACCTCGAAATGAGTGTCGCATTTTCAGCTGGGGGAATCGGTCTTGTGGGTTTAGGGAGGGAGGGTTTGCCTTTTGGCGAGGGTCGGCGTGTGACATTGACCTTCACGACGAATGATGAAAGTGAGAGGCGCAAGCGCAGCTCGCTGCCAGGCATGCTCAGGATCCACGCTACAGGCAGATCTTGCTGCGCGGCCAAAAGGAATCAACTTGACACTCGCCATCGTTGTCTTGTTCATGGTAGTCTGAGAGGACTTGGGCCGTAGGGAGTTGCGTGCGCAGGAGCCCACCGGCGCCGGTCTTGTCCGGAGTAAACTCGTTAGTAATGTTGTAGATGTAGTTGTCCCCGGTAGGGCCAAAGGCCAGGCTGCCATTGCTCCATGGTTGAGATGCTGTTGCGAGTTTTCAGGCGCGCAGAACTTGTTGGCGTCCCCGGTCTTGCACAGCAGCTACAGTTGCACCTCTGCGTCCGTCAGTCAACCACATGCTGACGGCTGGATCCGGCAAGCTGGTGGCTGTGCGCTGGAGCTTTTGTGACGCACCGATGGGGTTTTGCTAGGGTCGAGTTTGGGAATGTTCTTCGGTTGACATGGGCCGATCACAGCTTGGCTAGTTTATAGGCCACGTGAATATCTCACAAGGAACCCTCGTAACAACCTCGCATGCCTCAGGGCGCGGCTCCGACGAGCGTGCCTCTGCATAGACCTCCGCATCCTCCGTACCTGAGAGCTTTGTTGCGCCCGGTTTTTTCTTTTGCTTCTTTTTTTCGCTACACCCTATACTAGCAAACGGACTGGGAATTCCACCCCAACCTCTAAGTACGTGTCACCGAGTGCTTGCCCTCTCAGAAAACCTACACTGGATACTCGACCCTAAACCCTCGGACCCGGCGGTGCTTCTTCATCCCTCCCCTCCTATTCTCTCATATCTGTCGTTGTCCAGCTATATATACTCTGAAGCCTCGACAATCCCTATTTTCATGGTGTTTTGATGTATAGCGTGTTCTTGCCCAGCGTGCTCTCTTTCCTTGGTTGTTCCTCAGACTTGTCCTTTTCCGGTTTAGGCTTCTTAGCAATACTCTAACCCTAACACCCCAACACCCCAACACCCCGAACGCTCAACCAGGGCTTGCGGTGTCAGTCTTGAACCCTACTGGCCCCCTGAACTGTCAACCAGAAGCCCCAAACCAAGCCGACAGCTCTCAACAGCACACTCAACACCAAGCCCACAACGTTTTGAGCACACAGCCGAAGCAAAATGGTAATTTCGATTTGAAATGAGCCAAATCACAACCCATTTTTTATGCGGGTCCTGGGTCCCAGGTCTTGTGAAACTACATTCTGCGAATCCTGCGATGTCAAAATCCTCGAATTTCGGGCACATTCCGCTCGTCCTACAACCAACAGCCACGGTGAAAACAAACAGGGAGTCACTGGAGCGTAGTTAGCCACCTTGTTGTTGGCCTTTGGACAAGTTTCTGTGGAAGGTTTCGAGTCTCTGTTCCTTGTCCTTTGGTAACCTTCCCCAGGACTATTCAGCCTTGAAAATTCCATTTGGCCGGGATGTTTTCAAATGTATAATCTGCACATCCCGCCCTTTGATGAGGTTTTCGGTTTCTTGTGCAAGCAAAAACAAAGTGATAAGGAAGCGGGTCCCAGAGCAACTTCTACTGGCGTCGCTTAAAATTTAGAGTGAACAACAGAGCGTTCCGTTCACTCCTCATTTCATTCGTCTCTCTCTTTACTATATTAAGTTATCCGGTGAGAATACAGGGGTGAATGTATGATCGACCCATCAATAATTCTAGTCGCAAAGGATAAGTCACCTGTCATGGATTCGCTCTTTGAAACCAACCCACGAACTATTGACCATATGATCCTGGTTATGTTCCGATTATAGGTGCATGAGCTGGGTGAACATTGCAGTAATGGGAGGCTCGGGCGATAAGTAAGTTCGCCCATCAAGTCACCACTCCTGTGAAGATAACACTCATTTATTTTGGCTTAGGGTTTGGCTCCCGACGAAGATTTAGAGTGCAGCCGGCCAAGACGATCTGAGATGATCTACTCCATTCACCTGCGCCGTGAAGAAGCCCATTCAACCCGAGCTGTATAGAATCCAATGCCGCAAACTGTGTGCAAAACTCTGATTTCCTGAATGCCGACGAAAGCACAACTGGACTGTATGCGGAGCTGGCTCTCGCCGACTACGAGCACCATGTGCACGCTGACAGTGAAGTCTTCCTCTGGTGTTTCCGGGGGCTCCGCTTCTCGACACAAAGTCCAGCTCACTAGCCTGTAAAGTGCATGCAAGCAGGCCTTTCTGCCCCCAAAGGAGCCCTGTCTTTGGGATAATGTGCAGCCGCAATGCGCCAAACTCGGCCACGATTGGCAGTTTCTCTCTCACCTTTGCCAAAGGTTTGCAGAAAGAGCAGCCGAAGGGCCAGCAGAAACTACAAGCATGAAAGCTGAGGAATTCTGATGGGAGAAGGGATAGGTGCCTTACTAGAGGAGAAAATAATCGCGCAGCCCGAGCGACAGGGCCGGAAAGCACCAGGCCGCCAGCTGAGAGGTTGTAGTCCTCCAACGACTCGCAAGCGCCGGCCGTGCCTGGAACCGGATCCCCAGAGGCTTCTGGGCACTTTCCTCGAGTATGAACACTAACACTCTCTCTATTGAAACGGGATCTGAAAAGGCTACAGCCTGCGAAGCTAAAGTTCTTGGGACTGAGGATTTGGGGCTTCGGGTCTGGGACTCTTGGGCAGCGAGGTGTCGCACGCAGATGCTTCAAGGGCAAAGCTCCCGAAGCCTGAACCCTACGCCTCGCTTTACCCAGTTCAACCTTTCGAGCTTACAGGGCTCAAGGAGTTTAAGTTCATGATTGCAGGGCCAGCTGGTCTGGTCTGAACTGCGTGTTTATGCTGAGTCCGAAACCCCGAACCCGCAATCCAGGTCTGAAGCCCTCCAAAGAACATGCTCATTCCGGGAGGCTGTTCTCGCACCAGCAAAGGCTGTAGATGCCAGGGTGTCGTCCAGCCAGGTCAGTCCGGTTGCTGAAAAACACCCCGCCCAGATCGGCCTGCCTCGGTACCCCGACCCCGAAACCCAAACAGCCCCTAGATTCATCGGTAAGCCTAAAGCTCTAAAGGTTTGGGGCCATGCGTGGGATCCATGGGCCGCAAAGCCCGCAGTCTCGAAGCTTCGTAAGCTCATTTGGGGTTCAGAGTTTGGGGATGTTTGGGGTCTTGGGCACAAGCTGGGCTCTCAAGGCACAGCAGCTCACGGGGCTGACTTGTCTCGCGAACTGCCCCAATGAAGTACGCAATCCCTCCATAACCTCTGCCATCCCGCAAAGAAAAACTGCAGTGCGAAAACCCGATAATCCTGAATCCCAAGGCGGGCTTAGCGCAGACTAGGAGCCAACCTGTGCGGAAGTACATTTGGAACTTCTCCGGCGTCAGCTGCACTTGGTCGCAGCCGAACGGAGACGCCTAAGGCAAGGAGACCTACTGGGACATTTGGTTAAAGCCAGGGCTCAGGGTTTGGCATTTGGCATGCCCGGCTCCAAGCCAAGGATTCCGAAGCTGCGGGGGTTTTGGGGCTTCCATGGTTGAGGGGTCTCCCCACATGCAGCAAAGGCCATGCCATGCTGTGCCTCCCCCCCCCAAACAGAGCCGAAGGCAACCTTACAAGCCCTGGTTTCAAAGGCCCTGAACCTTAAGCCTTCAACCAGGGGATGTAAGGATCTGAAGGAAAGTAGGGTGCACCTGCAGAGCCGTGGTCTGTGGCCGTAAGCCATAGCTGCCCCGGTGAAAGAATTCGCCTCGCAGCGGCCAGTAATAAGCTCATTTGGGGTTCAGAAGTTCTTGGCAGATTCCGTCTGGAGGGGGGAGGGCTGCGGGTCCTCCTCACAACCAAGGTATTCCTTAAAGCTGAATCAAGCTCTAGGGGATTCGTTTTAGCATCTTCCCAAAAACCTCCATACTCAAAACCGCTGCAAAGCTGAGGGTCAGTAGGGCGCCCCGGTGATGCAGGAGGTGAGCTGCCATGGGTTGGGGCCGATCAGCTCCAACTCACCTCGGTATTTTTCTATCACTGATAAGTAGCAAAAAAGTATGATAATGATCATAGTAGTTCTAGAAAATAGTAAGATCAGTCATATGAAAAAAAGACAACACTAGAATAGATGCCCATCCCCCCCACCCGACCTGTTTACACTTTCCCAAGTGAAAGCCCTGACAGTGAAAATATCATAATCACCAAAGAATCAACTTTTAACTGCCGCAGAGAAATCGAGAAACCGGAAAATTTCGTGTGTTCTGTTCTGCAGGTGAAGTGAACCCCCTTGACACAGTAACTTCCCCCTGCGAGCTTGCAAAAGCTGCGGGTACATAAGCCTCTCCTTATCAGACTTGAAGTGTTTTAAAAGCACTTCCCCCTTCGCTTGAAAGGCCCGGCATACATGCCTTGTTGTCCGAACCATGCGACTCCTTTCGCTGCGGCAAGCAAGCTTCTTGCCCAAAAAGCTCTCGGCAAGGTGAATAATCAGTGAGAGGCTTCACCTTCCTTTCGCTTCAAGAGCATGCCTTTTGCGTGCAACCGAACACGCGCAAAGTGAACTTGCACTGGCACTATTGCAACGGATTGCAACGGAGGGGAGGGAGAAGGGGGGGTGGCCCCGCCATAAAGCCAAACCAAAGGCAGAAATCTAGGAGAGAACAAGAACGATGACAACGACAGTTGCAGCAACAGTAGCAGTAGCAGTAGCAGTAGCAGTAGCAATGATAGTGATAGGAGCAGTAATAGTAACGACAACAACGACAAGAAGAAGAATGATAAGTGGAACAAGAACAGATGCATCTGCAAAAGAGGAAGCCTCTGCGAGGGTCTTAAAGGCGCCTCGAAGTCTCCGGAACCCCTCAACGTCGGTTTCTTGCCCTGTTGGGGTCTGTAACCACACCCTATATTGTTGGATCCCAAGAGCCGAGGGGTGTGGCAGTCGCGTTCTGCATAAAGTCTTCCGGAGTGCACTTGCCTTGCATTGAGAGACAGAGGGTCTGGTTCTGGAGGGGATTGCTCTTTTACGAACAACCCACGTGTTTCGAAGCGGGCAGGCCTACGACCCTTTCTGCCCAGGCCGACACAACCCTGAACCTGCGCAGCTGCTGCTAGAATTGATTATCTGGATGGGAGGCCATGTTTTCGGCTTTGGCGATGGGTTTGGGACTTCATCTTGACAACTGCAAGTTGCGGAGGCATTGAACTGTGTAGAATGCTACCGTCCGACTTGGCGATCAGAACTCTGTGATCTGCGCAGGGCACAAGCAGAGCTCAGCATGTGGGGCCCTGTACTGCATGTGCAATTCTCACTAACTTCTCCAATGACGACACTTGTCTGGCTCTGCTGCTTTACGTACGCTACTTGAGACAACGATAAACCGGACAAGCTGATTTTCAATTAGCCCTTCACCACGGTCCCAAGTCCTTACGGAGAGTCCGGGCCGCAGAAAAGATGTTTTCCAGGTTGGTGTGGGCCGATGGTGAAGTTTCGCCGGATGTGCCTCACTTCTCAACACTTTCAACCTCTCGCTGTTACTGCTGTTACTGTTGTTACAGTTGTTACTGTTGCACCAAACCCTTTGCACAGAAGCAGCAGAGATCCTTTGGTGCCACTGCTCTTCGTGAAAGAACCGCATACGTTACGACAACGGCGGCTGCTAAATGCAAACAAGCTGCAGGTTCTCCACCTGTTGGAAAGGACAGCGCCGCCATCCTCTCCAAGTGTCAGGTTTGTGATCCCCTTGCAAATGCAAAACCCTAAGTTGGCAGAAGTCTCAGGCAAGAAAGGGAGATGAAAACCCCTGTTCTGGTGTACTCCGGCGACGTGAACAAGAGACAGCGCCCACTGGACGGTACAGAGCTCAGGCTCACGATGGTAGAAAAACAATTCGGGACCAATCTTGCAAACAAAAGCCTGGATGACTTTGGACAGACTTGAGCCTCCGATGTCTATCCCGAACCAACTCGACCCCTGCCTTTCCAAAAAAAATGTGCCAAGCGACCCTGAGATTCCTCAACCCTGAACCTAAACCCCCCAGATCACACCAGTCATCTCGGCCCCGGAAACTGCTTCTTGGATTCCTTCATACCGGGCGCAGCCCGCAAAGCCATCCGGGTTCTGGGCCATGCAGCAATGGTCCAAGCCGCCACCGCAAGTTCGTCCTTGTGGTATTTGGGCTTACTCAGCTTCTTACAAATTCGACCTAAGCTACTGACGGCCTTTCTGGGGACGCCGAAGCTCCACGCCACTGGCTCTGCTTGAATCAAACGAATTTAGAGCCTTCCTGGTGAATGTCGACCCATGTCTTACAGGAAGGGTAGGTGAAGGCTTATGGCAAGGGGCCGAAACCCTTGTACATGTAGAACGTACACTTGCCGACTCTGGCCGACCTAGCTGCAGGCTCGAAAAACCCAAGCGGCCGGCGCACATCGTGTGGTTGGGCGGGCAGAGGAGTCGCTCTCCCTTGCCTGCCAAGCCCATCACACTACCCTTGCATATGTCTACCCTTGGATCTCAGGGTTCGATCAGCCACCCGGCAGAGGCTACTCTCAGTTCCTCACAACCGGAGATCTTGTTCAGTTCCCTTCACTAGAACGCCGTGATCTACCGACATCGTATATCTGAAGCACGAGTGGCAAATTGCATGAGCTATCCCGCAGAATGTCTCACCGCAACACTATGCAGGTGGGAACAAGGGCGGTGGAGAAGGAGCAGGAGGGCCTTCCTCACCACAAGACCACCGGAGCGAGTGGGTGCCATCCTGCTGCTGCATTGCGAGGTTGCTTGGCTTGGATGTGAGAACTGACTGGGAGCAGTGAGCACAAGCCAAAATACATATGATAATTAAGAGTTAAGCCAATGAATTGCTATCAGAAGGTGCGGTGTTACGTATGGTCCTCACAGAAGACAGCGCCGGGAATGCGAGATGTCGTTCGCAGAAAAGGACCTGAAGCAAAAAGGCCAAGCAGAGCTTTCGGGTTGTTCTGATTCTTTTGCCAGTTAGTCTTCCCGTGTGGGTGGCACATGCCCTGTCCTCCGTATCGGAAACCAAGACAAGAAGCAAGCTTCCCGGGCAAAGCACCCATAAAGCAATTGTAATCCGAAGACTCGTGACCACAGAACATCCTTGTCTGTGGGGTGTTTCTCAACATTAGGGGGGATTGCTCGCGGGGGATGTGTATGTCCACTTACACAAACAGTTGCCACGACTGGACCACCGCTACAGTTACACGCACTCTGAGAAGCAGGCATATGCCCAGATCTGTGGAAAGACATCTTGGGCATGTGCCGTCCTCTCAGTGAAGCTACGGACGATGGCAGGCCTAGCCTCAAGCGAACCCGTACCAGCGTCACGCACACAAGATGAAGAATGGGCGGTCCAGAAACTCGTCAGGAGAGAACAGCATAATTAAGCAAAAAAGCACCCACTTCCGCATCGCTGAATACAAAAGCCCTAGGACCTACTCCCCTGTAGAACCCCGAAACCTGGAAACCCTGAACCCAACCGCAGCATGCAGCAAGAAGAGAACTCTCAGATCGAGGGTAACACTCAAAGACTTCGTCTTGCAGTCGGCACCTGCATTTTAGGCAGCTTTCGCGGCGCATTTCAAATCACTGCACCTACCGGACCTACCAAAAAACCAAAGCCCGACATGCACGCACAAAACCAAGTGAACCTGTCCACTCTCCGAATTGCTCAACTGGGGGCCTTGAACCCTCAACCTCTCCTGGACTTCGTCGAAAACCACCATGTCGCCATCCGTGACATTGTGCCCCGCGAGGTTGATGTTGCACGGGGTGTGGCCCACCTTTGCTGCACGGCTTCGGGCTTGTTATGAGGCTGCTGGTTGAGAATGTTGAGTAAGCCCCACCCCTAAACCCCAAACCCTAAATCCTAAACCCCACACCGAAACCGCTTTGAGCGGGAAACCTGCAGTGCTTGGGGGTTCGAGAACACTGGGGAACCTTTACACCCCAAGGGCACACAGGATGCCGGAAGAAGCTCGTTTACAGTTTGGAGGCTCCCGTCATCACGAACCCGCGGGAATCGAACGCCGGGGCACGCAGCCGAAAACCGGAAGTGGATCGTCACCCTGTGCCAGGGCAGCCCAGAGGGGCAGCCAGAGCTTATGCAGGGCCATGGCCACCACGAACGAGCATGCCAGCGATCCCGGCAAGCGTTGGGGGAGTAGGCTGGGACAGGGGATGTTTTGCGCGTTGGTTCGGGTGCATTTGCATCTTTTTCATCTCTGCTGGTTGGCCAGATGCTGAATCTAGACACGGTCCAGGGTGTCATCATGGCGTGCCTCGCACTTGCCAGTTGAATCACATGAGCCACTACTGAAACCATTTAGTTTCAAGCAGCTTGTTTGGACACATGAGGACAAATGGTGTTTGCTGCACCAAGGCTCTATACTGGGCTGCGGATGTCGACAAGTCCAAAGATGTTCAAGGTCGCACACAAGGGCTCTTGAGATTTATGCAGCCTGCAATGCCTGCATTGCAGAGAGGCGAGACGGATCCTCGGTCAAAAGCATTTGAGGCTCTGCGCGGCTCGTCGGACTCTCCGCTGCACTCAGGAACGCCGGTTGCGCGCCATGGTCGAGGATGCCTGGCGGAGTTTGGAGTTTGGGCTTCGGCTCTTGGGGCCCTGCCTTGAGGTTGAGGGGCCCTAAAACCCTGAACCCCTTTGGGATCCAGGAAACTACGCCTCCCTTTTTTGAATCCAATGTCCAAAAATGGGTGACTTCGAAGTGAGCCCTCGCCTACGTAAATTCCGGCCTGTGGGGCTGCAGCTTCGGGTATCTTGGGGTGTCAGAGAGGGGTTCGACAATCAAGGCCCAGGTACACTCACTGATTTGCAGGAGAAGCTGGCTCTTCAGCCGCCAAAAGGGGAGCGATGACATGGATCCCCTGGCGTAGGCGCGGATGGCAATCCTAGGTGAAGTTGGGTCAAGTGCTTGAAACATAGAGAAGCTCTGCCACCTCAGGCAACATAAAGTATAAGCCCGGTGTAGGGGCCGTCCGGGTAGGCACCTCTACAGGATGGAACCCGGCATTGCGACCCAGGGGCTTGGCCCCCACCTCGTCGAAGCCTTCGAAGCCACAGAATGGTGGGTAGACCTTCACGCAGCCTCCTCGAAGATCTTTGAGCCTCTGCACCTGGCTCGGACTTCTCCCTCAAACTTCTGGGTGCCGCTCTCACGCGGTTTTCGACTCCCCCGCTCCCTAAGAATCAGCCCGGAACCCGAATCCAGCACCTCCTCTTCTTGGAGGAGGTCCTCGTGTGATAAGAGCAGGCTCTGAAGGCTCTCCACCAGCTCGGGCAGCTTCCTCATGTCGGAGGAAGTAACTCGCACCAGCTCCCTGATGGGTCTGAAGTCCTCAAGACGGGACCATGGCGACTGGAGCCCTGTAGGGCCTCTGCGGTCCTTTAGGGCCTTTGGGGTGTCGAGTTCAGGGCGTTAGAAGCATGAGTCGGTTTAGGATTGCAAGTCCTTGATGGTCTTGTTGACCACAAAGTCTTGCAGGAGGTTCTGGTTTGGGATGTGGACCAGCATGCCATCCAAGCTATTGAGATGTGTGTTGATGGGGCCAATTTCCTCGACCATGCCGACCATCTTCTCATTTCCCAGCCTTATCTCGTCGCCTGCACCGCAAGACCGCAAGCCCCCACGACCCTGAACGATGAACGGAGGTCCAAAGGCTTTTTGCGAGATTGCACTCCCTGCTCTTCCTCCCCCCCGAAAGCCTCCGTAGAAAGAAACCCACTCTTACAAGCCCAATCTGTGTGATCTCTCCTACGAGTAATCAATATGGCTTCCGTAACGAAGCAACGCTCCGCAAATTACTTTAACAAGTCCCGACCTGTCAGAGCACTTAGAACCAGGGCTGATAAAGAAAAGACAACACAGCGTGCCACCCGCAGGCCTTCGACGAACGGCCGGTTCAACTGAATCAACGAACCTCCCAGCAGAAGGCTGTCAAAAGAACCGTGGTAAGCTTGGACTTTTGTCTGCTGGGTGGTCCGGTGGGTGGGAAAGTCTTTTCCCCAGGAGCCTGCAATGAGGTTTCCCACCAGGTTCCTTGCTGCCAGGCCCAGAGCCAACCCACCAACGCCACCGAGAGCCAGAACAATTTGTGGCCTCAGGCCGATAACGTCCATCCAGGGCCAAATCATGGCACAGATCACCTAGGGTGATTACGTTGCATGCCATCACGGTCTACATAAGCTTCTCGCGCAACGGAATACCAGTGCCACGATGTCACACGATGCCTTTCTTGCAGCCTCGACATGGAAGATGTTCTTAGAAAGGCCTGCGTGTATTTGCCCTCACAAACTCCAGCGCTCTGCACCTAAACCTGGGGCGGCCAAAGGCACCACGACCACGTCGGTGACACGGCTCGCCAACAGCACCCGCCGCGCTAGCAGCCGGGACTTTGCCTCCCAATGCTGGGGATTGAAAAACTCCTTTCATTTGGGAACTTGGGACTTCGGTGCCTGAGGATTCGGGTGACCTGAAGCCACGGACCCTACAAGTCTTCCATCTGCGAAGCATCGGGCTTTCAGGTCCGCCTCGCGCGGGTTCTGCATGGCGTACATCATTCTTGGCTGGGGATTCGAAACTCTCAGGATTCAAAGGCTCCTTACACCCTCTCGGCTCTCTTCGGGGTCTAGGGCTTCCGATTGTCCAAGCCAAGGGCCAATCAGAACCGGAACGGCATCGACCACCAAGGAGTGCTCAAACGTTCAGGGCTTAGTACTTCGCGGAGAAAGGATGAGGATTCGGGAAACGCCAGGGTTTTAAAGGGGTTCGGGGTTTTGTGTACTGCCCAGCGTCCGGCACCAGAAGCGCAAGGGCCAAAAGGAACAGCGGGACTCTGCTAAAATCCGAGTCCTTGGGTCTCAAGGTTGACGGACAATCAAGAAGCGCAGGAGCTTTGCTGCATTAGCAGGAGTTGATTGACTCCTGGACTCGCAAAACCCTAGCGCCCGCTACCAAATCAAAAGCTTGCTGCCAACGGGTATGAGTCCTGGGTGGACGCTTGAGCTTCAGTATCTGGTAGCCGATGATCGAGGTCATGGCAGCACCAAGGACACGCCGGCTGACCCGGAAGACAAAGGAGAACACCTCTGGAAATTCTAGGTCTTCCCTCAAAATAGGCTTGAATGCCAGCATCCCTATCCCTCGTTTGTGGCCGGGACCCCGCACACCGTACTTCCTTTGCATCTCTCGTGTCTATGGACCCCGCCGACCTCCACAGCATGGACCCCTTGAGAAGCCACGGGCGCGTTAGCATTGATATGATGATGCTCTGACGATGATGACGGTGATGACGATGATGGCGATGATGACGACGATGATGATGATAAAGATATAAAGGCATAGATCTTTCTGGCGGTTATCCAACATCTGGTTCTTGTGCCTTTATTTCCTGGAGATAATACTAAATAACCTGGACTGCCAAGGAGAAGCCGAAGTCATCCATTGCATCCCAGTAATCAGAGGAAAGGTAAGAAGGTCAACAGAATACGAAAGGTCCGTCCTAAAGGTAAAGCAAATCATCATGTAACAAAAGCGTGAACGAACACGCGCTCACTCATTGCATCCACCCACTTGTTTCGCTCACAATATATCAGGTGTGTATACTTGACCGGCTTGGAATCCAAGACTTTGAGTCTTCTTCACATGAATCGAACAACGATAACGGCAATATGACAATGAACAATCAGCCTGCGTACACAAATAGTCGAAGTTCAACCCCCGCCTCCGCAGAGAGGAGACCCTCGACCCCGGCGCCTCCTCGGCCGTTACATTGCCATCCCCGTTGTCATCCAGGATCATCCTCGGGGTTGAGGGCTGGGTCTTCGAAGCCCCGGGATTTCAGGATTCAAAATGGCTTTAGACGCTTTACGGTCTTGAGGTCTGGGTTTCAGGGTTTTCGGGGAATGTTACAGGGTGGGCAAGAGATGATGCACTGCACACACCCGGCCCAAAAACAGACGGTGGTTCAAGCCCATACCCTGCGACCACCAAACCTGCACCCGGTGTGCCTTCATCGGCCTTGGTTCTGAGCTCAACAACCTACGACCCCGAAAACTTAGACTCACCCCCTCACAACGAGCTGAGGCTCAAGGACACTAGACCCTGAGGGCGAAGATGAGCTGAGGCTCAGGTACGGATCGCTCTTGCTCAAGTCCAAACTCCAGGTTTTCGGCAGCACCCGAGCGCCGAAGTTCACCGCCGAGAAGGCCAGGAAGGCACGCGAGAATCCCAACAGCAAGCCTTGAGAGGGCGTTCGCTCGGCGTAGGTGGGTTCCGCCCGGTGAAGTGCAGGGTGTAAGAAGATGGCCCGTGCTGGGTCCGGGGGGAAGCAAGTGACTTACTGGGGGTGCGGCCTGAGAAGAACCCGGCCAGCTTGCCAGCAATCCAGGATTCGGCAACAAAGGGCTCGATCATGGGCGCGATGCCACGGGTCAGAGCCAACTTCATGCTCTTCACGTCCGGGGCCGCAGGCAGCCGAACCAGGACGATGGAAGACCCCACGTACAGCAAAAGCCTCAGAAAAAAGTTCTGCAGCAAACCGTCATATTTCCGCGCCGTGATGAAGAGCAGGTGGAGCACGACGGGCCAAGCGAAAACGGTCATCGCAGCCTTGGCTCTCAACATTGCCCCCTTTCTGGGGAAAAAGATGCAGTTGCAAAAGGCTCGTGGAACCATATGAAGGGGCATACTTGGCATACTGTCTGGAAAAATTGCGATGCAGAGCCACGCGCCTGAAACCCCGAAACCCGCGAAACTAAACTACAATCTTGCTTGACGTCAAAGTATATCCGGACAACATCCCTACAACCATCCAACGAACCTCGGAAAACCTAACACCCTACAACCCCGAATTTCTACCCAAACCCAACAATGTCTGATGTCCCAACGGCTATATTAACACCATCTACACCCCTACCAAAAAGACCAAAAAGCTGTGAATCTTCAGAAAAAGGTTTAGGGCTGCAGTTCAGAGAGACCTGCACAAGTCTGATTATGTAGGTCGGCTGATGCCAACGTACAGGCTTATGTTAATCCCGTCGTTTTGCAGTGTCTGTTGAATGCGCACTTTCTGAACCCTTTCACCTGTCTGTAAAGGTTCAATGGATGCTAAGTAGACGGGTTCTCTCCTCTGGGGGCGGCAACTCCAAAAACACGGATTCTCTGCAGGATTCTAGGCCGCGACAGTATCTGGGGATTCTCAAAGGGATTCTCTTAGGGCAGACTAAAGACTTAACATAAATAGAACGGCAAGCCCAAAACATCCCAAAACCCCACACCCTTTAGGCCACGCCTTGAGGACACCAGCGGCATTCGGCCCCGACTCCTCGGCGGGCGCCTCACGGATCCGTATTGGTACATAATTTGATAGTGCATACTCCTTGTAGTTAAGGGTTCCTAAACCGTCCGTGGTTTAGACGTGGCATTGGGCGATAACTTGTTTTGGTTACCGCATTGAACTGTTTTTGAATTGGGAGGGAGAGGAGTGGCCTCTATGTTTTCATGCCAAAACCTTTGTTTCCTGGCTTTCTCTATGTCGTTCTTTCTTTCCTTCCTTCGTTCCTTCCTTCACCCTAAACCACAAAACACATACCCAAACCTGCACCCCCAAACCCTGAAGATGCAAGCTTGCCTGGGCCCGCCGCTTCGCCCAGTGAACATTTGAGCCCCGACTCCAGGCACGCAGTTCCGGTGGCCTTGGGGGTTTTGGGGGGGGGCAAGGGGGGGCGGGGGGGCTTGTACTTCGTGGCTTAAGGTTAGGTGTCTTCAAGGCTTCGGGTCGAGGTTGTTTAGTGTCCTTGAGCTGAGGGCTTTCGGGAGTTGAGGGAGTTGAGGGTTCCCCGCTGCGCCCAGTCGGCCTGGTCCTAGTGGCTTCCCGGTGTTAGGCCCTGCGACCTTCAACCCATGGAGCACCTAGAGCCCGAAAGCCCTCCACCCCTAAAGCACTTCGGAAAGCTCCGAAGAGCCTCGGCTGCAGCTGCGGTTTCCATGACGCTGGCGGCCAGCCCACGTGAACTAGAGGCCGATTCCTGCGGGGCTTGCGGGGTTTGCGTTTAGGAGCCTGAGGTTTGCAAATGTACCAAGACAGGAGCGTAAGAGCTTAAGACACAAAATGAAAACTCCAACTTTCTGAAACACTGCATGTTGTAGGCAGCAACTAAATGAAACAACTGGTCTTGCTTTATTGACGAAAGGAGTCGGCTGGTTCAGGGGGGGAGCAGAGACAAACGGGT